AGCAAAATCACGCTTAATTATCATTGCGTGTAATGCTTCCTTATAAAGACTTCGAGACTTATTCCAACATATACTGCTATTACAGTTAATACTTTTCATTATTTTCGTATCAAATGTTATAAAATTGACCTCGCTTTTCAAAATTTCAAATTTCTGCTAATTTCTTCAGTTTTAGATTTATGCATGAGTGACCTAACAATAGATGAAAGATTTTACAGGAACAGTAAGAAGGAAAAAAGAAGAACGGCATTCGGTTTTTCTGCGACTTGTACATGTATCCAGCGGATTGTGAGAAAATGATGAGTAGCTGAAAAAATGGAACCAATTGATGCGATATATCGCATCCCGTTCTGACACAAAATATGGCGTCCATCGAATCACCTAAAGGCAATTTTATGATCTTTCTCGTCTCTCATAGACAAATCTGAATCTTCGCGTGACTCAGCCCGGCTCAAAGCGTCAACTCTAGACATGACTTTTTTTTTGCGAGGTATATGTTCAGATGTTCAAGTCTTGCTTTTTTACTCTGGAGACACGCTTTATTCACCGTAATATTGAGACAACGGCAGAGCGAAGCACAATGTATCTTTCAACTTCCCTCCCCCCTCGGTTTCTCGCTGCTGTCTCTTTCGAAGCTCGTCGCTCCCAAGTCGCTCCCCATTATACTCCCTTAATTCACTCTTCTTTTCGTTGCGAATGCCATTCCGTGCATCAGAGACACTTGTTGAATTGAGTTTATCCCCGGAATTTCAAAAATTACTCAAATGAACGTGCGTCTCCTAAACGACCGACATTGTGACTAGACTTCCTTCAGAATGTCTCCTCTCACTTTCCCCCACCTTCTCTGGTCCCCGTGATTTTATTTTTCGCCCCTTCTTGATTTACCCTTAATAAAAATAGCGGCACAGGAAAATAAAGGTGCCATTAAAAATTTAAATTATCGGCCGTAAGTTCTGCTACAATTTTTGATACACTGGAATAAAAAAAACACATTGGATCTAGAGTCCAGACTTTTGAAAACATTGACAAGAAAAAATACTCTTGATTCAATCGGATTTTTGCTTGAATCAAAACGAAATCTGGGGACACGGACTTTATGTTCACTTTTTTTACGTCCACAGACTTTTCGTCCTCAATTTTTACGTCCACAGTTCTAACGTCCATACTATTGTTAAGTCCATTACTTAAACGTCTGCTAAGTGAAGTCCACAAATGTAAAGTCCACTAAAATCAAATTCAAGCGTCATATTTTAGTCCGTGTGTAAAATTATATTGACAATATCGAAATGAGAAAATTAAGAGAGAATGAGGTGTTGTTATCGTAACTCATATTTTAAATGAAATGTTAATTTCTTCTTTTGATTCATCTTTTCAAATTGTCTTTGGTAAATACTTGGTTTCATTTCTATCCTTGAAATTTCCGATATAAAATATGCCGTAAATGTATATTATTTTTTTTAATGAAATCGATTACTTCATTTTAAAAACATTTACATTTTTAAAACGTGGTAAATATTTGTAAAACCTTCTCCAAGCAATGGCATCGATATGAATCTCTATGAGCCGTAGTTGTGATGAAAGAAACTATACAAAAATTAATAAAAGAGGAAAAAAACTAAGGAGCACGCAATTTTTTGTTTTTAACTTATTTGTACATCGACCTCCTTGAATCAAATACTTCCAATTTTGAGCGTTTGGTTGCGCTTACACCATGCTGCAGCACAGTAAAAGCCCAAAAACATAAAAGAATACATTTGAATGCTTTGGAAATCATTAAATTTGACACGGAAGCACTTTTATATTTACAAAAAACACATTATATTGTCCAGTAGTACATATTTCTTTTTCATCAGTTTAAAAGGGAATAATCAATGCAGAGAGTGCAAACATTTCAAAATCATGAGTTGAAAAACGCTGACTTCGCGAGTTTAAATATTTAAGCCCAACACAGAGCGGAGCGGCGTGTTAGCAGCGCAGGACGCGCACTGGCGCCTACAAACCTAACGGGATACTTCACGCATTGCGTAACGCGTAAAGTATCCCGTTAGGTTTGTAGGCGCCTATGCGCGTGTCACGGTGGTTTCCTGCCGCGTCGCAACGCTTTAAGCAACTATTTCGCGTCAGAGGCGTTGCACAGTATACTACAAGATTGAAGGCGCACGAAATAACTAGTTAAAGAAGACTTTCAATTTCAACTGCATCTTTTACTGAATAATGTTTAATTTGGCATTGGAGCGTTTCCTAGGCTCCCGTTTTGGTTTTCATCTTATCATATCCGAACAGTGTACACATGAACAAATGTTTTTATCTGCTCTTAGACTTAGAGTCTGTTCGCTTTCATGACTTGATTCATGAATGAAATGAATTTAAGAATGAAGGTAGTAGTAGTATGCATTTATTTTTGAGGTGGTTCCTGTCATTTAAATGAGAAAAAAAAAAAAAATGTGGACATAACATGTCCACAATTTGGACAATTTTGGACATATTCATGGTTGGACATTAAATCGTTTGGACTTAATGAAGACTGGACTTAACGCTTAGTGGACATAAATAGCGGTGGACATTTACTTAATGGACGAAAGGTAGGTGGACATAAAGTCCTGGAAACGAAATCTGCTTGAATTAAGAGGCTTGGTTCTTGATTTAAGCAAAAATTCGATTGAATCAAGAGTATTTTTTCTTGTCGATGTTTTTAAGAGTCTGGACTCGAGATCGAATGTGTTTTTTTCCCAGAGTGGTAATGTTTCAAATCTGACAATTAATGAATCACAGAAGCCAAAATGAAGTAGGGAATTACAGATATCAATTTTCTTGGCAATGATTTAAAAGTTCGGTCATGATAACTTTTGAGAAAAAAATGAAAATGAAAATTTAGGCGACAGAATGGCATGTCCTCGAAATCATTTTCTCATTTAATTTTGCGTGCGACGCGATATCTATCAAATACGTTTACGACAAGATTAAACTGGAAATAAAAATCATCGTCGCCATTTTTTCATGCAACAAATTCAGTCCGTTTATTTATCACTGAAACGAGAGTCAACGGCTCTTGAAACTACTTTATTTATTTGAAAAAGTAAGCGAAGTGTGTGAGTTTTTTCTTTTGAACTTTCATGATTTTATCAAAAATAAAGATGAAAATATTGAGAATCATTTGGGAATCGAATCGGAACTTTTTTTTCAATATGTTCTCGAGAATAGGATGGATATAGAATATTTTCTGACCGCCTCCGGAAAATTACGCCAAATGTATAACAGCGAACGTATGCCACATATCAGCTACCGTTTAACAAATCTTACGTTTAATTTTTATCTCATATTTATATTAATTTCAATTTATTAACTCGCTTTAAGCGTATTCTAGTTAGTTGGTTAGCGCGAATAAAGTGTTTATTTGGTGTAGGTACGTGAGACGTGGAAATATCCTAAAAGTATGATATGAACCGTCTCAGCTGTTCATCGACGTAATTTACAAGCGTTGATTTCCTTCCTCGCGGGGAAGAGATTAGAAAATCGTGCAGAATAGAGTACGGTGGAGTATTCACACTGAGCTCATTCATAAATTCATTCATAAATCACAAGTCGCTCGCCGAATCAATTATTTGGTCCTTCATTCATGAGTTGGCGCTTTCCCTTGGTCTGACGCAAATGCTTTGTTTCGCTCGAGTCATGCTTAGTTCCCCTAACTTTGTAACCAATCTGCACTAATGAATGAACTTCGCTCCTATTTTCATCGCCTCATACTTTTGTTCGACGGAACATCCGATTATATCATGTCTAGAATCCCCTCGCTTTTCCCGGTTGTTGTTCCCCCACTGTTTCTTCACCTGAGCTTAAGTTCTGTTTTTCATGTGATTCGTATCTTAAGACTTCCATCTAAATAGTTACGGAACTCGTTGATTCATTTCGTGATTTAACGGTATGAGAAGTTGAGAGCGAAAATACTGATTGGCATTGTGAAAATGAAATATTATTGCCCTAGTGTTTAGATGAAAATTTTATATTTATTAATTCGTCACCAATATCGACGGTGTAAGTCGGCAATCACATAACTCGGTTTGCGACGTCGCAGACTTCCTGTCATACTTTATTTTTTAAATGGAAAACTACTCAACGGCAATTCTTTAAAACTGTCATGATTTTTCTTCTCAATGCGAAGAAAATTCTGCAAAAACTTCAAGAAATTTAGTCAATTTGCACTTCTATAAAAAAAATGACGTAGAGGCGGAAATTTTCAGACACCGCAAACGAGTTATGTGATTGCCGGCTTTCACCATCGATATATAACGTCACCAATATATCCGTCATTAATAAAGTCACCTTCCGACCAAAGTATCACAAAGCGCCACGCAACGTTTCAAAATTTCCGGCATCATTTTTTTACAGAGTAATTATTGGTTAAATCTGTTCGAAAATTTCTTTGTGCTGCCGGCGAAATTCAGTGAAATTTTCGGATAGCTTCGTTGAACAATTTCTCTGTAAAAAAATAAAAAAAATGGCGACGGAAATGGTTAAACGTAGCCTGGCGCTTGTGATACTCTGGTCGGAAGGTGACAATTTTTCTTGAATGTAGCACACGTTTCTGCGTTTATCCCTTTCTCTTTTGAAGACTGCGCAAGCAGTTGCAGGAGCTATTACCATATTATTAATAGATCGTAATTTTAACTGGTCTTTTTATGACCCTTTGGAAGGAGGTGATCCTATCTTGTACCAGCACCTATTCATGTTTTTGGTCATATAGAAGTTTATGTTCTGATTTTACGAGGATTTAGTATTGTGTCTACTGTACACATATTATTGAAATTTTCATCTTTAGAAAATTCGTTTGTTTTTTCATTATGATCACTTGATAAAAGTTAGAAGCACGGCTTTTAAAATAAAGGAGGCTTAAGGGGCGAGAGCACTGCGAGAAGCTAGAAGAAACATTTCAGGGAAAAGCATCGGTATTGAGAGTTGAAACGAAAGATGGATATAAATTAAAGTGGGTTGGAATTACTTACTGTCCGGTAGGTTTTTTTCTGTCCAGCGTGCTTGCCACCACTTTCGACGTGGACTTGATAAATGATTTCGAAAAACTGCTCGACGACGGCCACTTTTCGGTAGCTCCTTCCCTCAGTGCCACTCTGAAAATCAGAAATTGCTTTTAAGTCAAGACAGAAACGGAATTCACTGAGGCATGACTCGCCAAAATGCCAGTCTCGTCAATTTATCGAGTCCAACAAAAGAATTCCTACTCTAAGTAGCGATGCATTAGTGGCGAAACAACCTCAATTTTGACCTGATGATACGTCTAATTTGATGAGAATTTAACTAAAATCAGTGAGAATAATATTGAGAACAGTTTTATTCCGATTTAGCTTAGAGGAATACATAGACGGATCCCCGAAAGGGAGAGGGAGGCTTAGAGGGCATTCGACCCCCCCCCCCCTGTTCGTTCGAAAAAAGGGGGGAAGAAAAAAAGAAGGAAAGACGCTTTTATTTGGCAATTATTCATGAAGAAAGTGACTCAAACTGCATAAATGATACTTCAAAATTTCAAAACTTTTCCGGGAGAGGCCCTCGGGTCCGTAATCCCCCCTCCCCTCTCCATCCCTATTCAAGGTGTCTGGGTCTGCTCACGAAAGTATAATTATTTGAAAAACACATGTTGCATATTTGGTATATATTTTCATAATGTTGACCTCTCAAATCCCAATGAGAGGGTACTTAAAATATAATGCTGAGGATAAATAAACCCGCAGCTTGATTCTTGATGGACTACAGCTGAAGAATTATACCGAGATAGGTCATTTACAAATCTTGATAGGTAAAGTTGTCCGTTAATTATTGGCCTGTTTTGCATCTGACGTGGTTGGACCATAATTGATAAGTTGAAATCTTTCTTTCTCTCTACAAATGTAAAAAAACCAACCCCAACAACCTGTTTATAAACTAGAAGGAAAGACATGATATCATCACGTCTTGTACTTCATTACGCCACATTTCAACGCTACATCCCTTTTGAAAAGTGACATGTGCTTTGTGCATGACCCCTCTTTTCAAAATAGCATCAACTCATCGATTAACATGGATAGCTACTCGGAGTAGCAAGATCAGCTCCGGCAAAAAAGATAGAAGGAGACAGGATGAAATCGAAGGTGGAGAGGGAGGATCGGAAGATAGCGGGGGTAGTTTTGGGTGGAGGTCGAACTATGAACTGTATAAAAACAAAGAGAGTCACTTCGGGGTGTATGCGGCGTGAGAGAGAGACGAGGGCTATTGATTTAGCCTCAAGTTGTGAATGGTATGGGGAGGCATCCCCTCTTCCCGCACCCCAAACTGGACTTGGGAGGGTAGAAATGAGTCTTAAAAGTGAAACAGTGGACTTAGTGGTATCGTCATTCGGATCTCCTTATCATTTTTCTTCTTTCTTTCTCTATCTGTCTTCTCATTTGGAGCTTTTACCTTCAATGCTATCCCTTCTCCTTATTGTACTTAAATCATATTTTCAGTGCGACCGATTCGCCTGCCTTCAAAATGAAAATCTACCGAACACCCAAGAAACTAGGCATTCTTGTCTCCAAGTCGATGTGAAAGTAAATCAAACATGGTGCGAAAATTTTGGCGTTATCCGCGCACCTGGAAAATTTGGCCACTAGGGACAAGATTCTCGTTTCTGCCTGCTGCAATCCGGCTAAACTGTCTAAAGTTCGGCATTAAAACTTTTAAGCTCAAATCGAAAGGAAATCCGCTCAAATTAAGAGGCTTGGTTCTTGATTGAAGCAAAAATCCGATTGAATCAAGAGTATTCTTTCTTGTCGATGTTTTTAAGAGTCTGGACTCGAGATCCGATGTGTTTTTTTTTTTCCAGTGTAAGTAAAGATGTTGGGTGATGATAATCTAACGGGGAAACACATGTTGAAGGCGAATCATTGTTCACAACTTCTACGACGCGAAGCACGTGAGCTGGAAGCGAGCTAGATCCGAACCTAATTACAGTATACACGGCAACAAGTGTTCAGCTTGGTGGTTTACAATAGCCGAAGTTCATCGCGAAATAACGCCATTTCAAGGTCGCAAAACTGACCGAAAACCACCGTTTTTCACATTTATAGGTATGACTGTAAGCGATAGGAATGCAACTTAAATCTAAGGCTACAAAACTGAATGAAAATATTCCTTACGAGAATAAGATTATACAGCTCCTGTCCAAAATTTTCCTAATTGTCATGTGCATTCAGGAGAGAAATCAGTGAAATTTTCATTTAGGAATGCCCGACAGTTCCCTTCTAAGAATACACTTTATGAGTGGAAATTTTTCGGTGTAGGAATGTGTCTACTGCCGCAATCAGACGCTGAATTTAGCACCTGAATGTGGAAGTCAACAGTCATCGCCCAACGGCTGAAATTTAGCAAATTCAGGTTATTTTCATCCAGATGTGTATCAAATCCACTCGAATAGTTCAGACAAATTCAAAATTGGTCCGATGGTTGCTGAGAATCGTTGCTGAATTTTGCGCGTCACGCGCAAAATTCAGGCATCGGGCCGATGACTTCCACATTCAAGCCACATTCAGCTCCCACATTCAGCGTGTGATTGCGGTGTGAGTTTTTTCGTCTGGAAAATGACAAATAACTCTTTAGATCTGGTTTGATTTTCGGTTGTTCTTTCTAACTGGTTATATTCTCTATTTTGAAATGCCACGGTCACTTTCAAAATTAGTCAAATCAGTCACAATATTCCTCATCATCCGCAAAACTTAACGTACTGATCGTGGAGTAGAATTCTGATTCGTGCGATTACTTAATGCTTGGGTACAAGCACACATGCTATAATTATTATCGTCTGCTCGACGAAACAAAGAGAGAACGCGGGGGAGGGGAACGGGGAA